TGGAAAGCATATGGAGATTCCTTATACAAGTTGGAATGGAACCATCATTTGACCCAGTTATCCCACTCCTTGGTTTATATCCAAAGGACTTAAAGTCAGCATACCATAGTGACACAGCCACATTAATATTCATAGCAGCTCAATTCACAATAGCTAAACTGTGGAAGCAACCTAGATGTCCTTCAACAGATGAATGGATAAAGAAAGTGTGGTATATATACACAATGGAATATTACTCAGTCTTAAAAGAGAATAAAATCATGGTATTTGCAGGTAAATGGATGGAGTTGGAGAATATCATGTTAATTGAAGTAAGCCAATCCCCCCAAAAAACAAAGGCCAAATGTTTTCTCTGATAAGTGGATGCTGATCCACAATGGGTGTGGCCAGGGGAGCAGGAGAGGAATGGAGGAACTTTAGATAGGGCAAAGGAGAGAGAGAGGAAGGGAGGAGGCATGGGGGTAGGAAAGACAGTGGAATGAGATGGACATCATTACCCTAGGTACATGTATGAATTCACCAATGGTGTGACTCTACTTTGTGTACAACCAGAGAAATGAAAAATTGTGCTCCATATGTGTACTATGAATTGAAATGCCTTCTGCTGTCATGTATAACAATTTATAACAAATACATTAATTATTAATTTTAAAAATAATAAGTAAAATAAAGCAAAAAAAAATGGACAAAGAGGACTGGGGATGTAGTTCATGGTAGAGGACCCCCACTTCAAGGAAAACAAAAGCAATGATTTTCATTAGATTTCTCCAAAAAGTTATGCTCAGCATCATTAGTCCTTAAGGAAATGCAAATCAAAACCATGAGATACCATTTCATACCTATGGAAAGGCTACAAGAAAAAGATACACAATAACAAGTGTTAACAAGGCTTATGGAAAATTGGAAATGTCATATATTGCTGGTGAGAAAGTAAGTGGTACAATGACTTTGGAACAGTCTTGCAGCCTCTCAAAAAGTGAAACCCAGAATTTCTATATGACTTGATGATTTCTGGGAATTCATAAATTACATACATATATACCCAAGAATTCACACAAAAACTTGTACATGAATGTTTATAGTAGCATCATTCATAATATTTAAAAGTCAAAACAAGCCAAATGTTTAATAACTGATGAATAAACTGATAATTAAAGTGTGGCATATTTGGGCTGGGGCTGTAGCTCATTGGTAGAGCACCTGCCTTGCATGTGTGAGGCACTGGGTTCGATCCTAAGCACCACATAAAAATAAAGATATTGTGTCCAACTATAACTAAAAAACATATTTTTAAAAAGTGTGGCATATTTACACAATGAAACATTATTTTGCCATAAAAAGTAATGTTACAACATGGATGAATCTTGAAAATGTTAAGTGAAAGAAGCCAGATGCAAAAGACCATATGTTCTGCCAATTATAATAAGTATCCAGAACAGGCGACTGTATAGGGACTGAGAGTATACTAGTATTATCAGGGACTAAGGAAAGAGGAGCAAAGGATGACAGCTCATGGGCACAGAGATCCTTTTTGGGATAATAAAAATGTTCTGGAATTAGATAGTGATGATGATTGTATGACCCTGCAAATAGAACTTAAAATATTGAATTGTATACACCAAAAGGGTGAATTTTATGTTATGTGAATTCTATCTTCAAAAAAGTGCCAAAAGGGAAGAATGCAGCAACAACAAAAGTATGTAGTGGCACTGTGTATCACCACCATTTGTGGAAAAGAAGGGTGTGATAAATATACATGATTACTTGCATATGCATAGAAGAATTTTGCCAGGCTTCACAAGGAAGTGTTAATACAGTTCACCTCTGGAGAAGCCAACTGGAGACAGGAATGGGAAAGACTTTTTTTAAAGTGTTTTTGTTCCTTTTGAATTTTGTACCATATTATAAATGCATTATCTATTTTTGAAATATAAAAATTGAATTGGTAACAATAGCTAACATTTGCTGTGTGCTTACTATGTGCCAGGTTCTATTCTAAATGTTTTGTATTTATTTCATTTTCACAATGACATTATTTTGTGCTCTTTTTATTCTCATCTATAGTAAAGGAAATGGAGGCATACACAAGACAAATTACACACCCAAACAAACACAGCTAATAAGTCCAGTCCTTGCTTTTGACTGCTACTCTATAGTGCCCCTCAGAAATTTAAAGCAGTGAAGAAGGTGTGGGGGGAAATGTTGGTGAGGAGAGAGAAAAGAGTGGGCAAGGGGGAGATGGAGGAGAGCAAGGGGGAGATAGAGGGCGCAAGGGAGAGAAAGAAGGGTGGCAAGAGGGGAAAAGGGGTGTGAGGGCCTGAGCAGACTGCACAGCATGATTTATCGGGCAAGTACAGCTCCCTCTTTGCACACCTTTCCCTCCTTGTCCTTCAATTTCCCTTCTTCTTGGCCATTTGCAGAGAACAGTGAAGACTGGGTATAGGACAGGTTAGTATAGGCCAGCTCCTGTAAAAGCCTATACAGCCTAGAGGTTAACTTCTGGAATGAAATCTGAACTAGAATCCCTGATTTCCATTTGTGGCTATGTTTCTTTTCTTTTTTTAAATATTTTTTTTAGTTGTTGATGGACATTCATTTATTAATTTATTTATATGTGGTACTGAGAATCAAACCTAGTGCCTCCCACATGCTAGGCAAGTGCTCTATCACTGAGTCCCAGCCCCAGCCCTTGTGGCTACATTTCTTGGGTAAAACTTAGATTCTAAGCTTCTATTTCTTCATCTGTAAATATGGGATAAAATCAGCTTACCTCTCAGAGAGTTGATACAAGTATTGAAAGACTCCATTTCAGGCATAGATTAAGTAAACTACACAACACTAGGCAAGTGACTCCATGGACAGCAGGTGACTGAGGTATAAAGCATACAAAGTCAGTGGGAATATCACACCTGTGGATGAACCACCACCAAGGAGAAAAGTCCAATGGTGGCAGCTCCAAAAAGGAAGATGAAAAAGGAAGACAGTGGGAGTCCTCCACCTTCTGGCAATACCACAGTTTCCCCTGGGAACACCAAATCACAAAGCACAGAAGGGAACAGACTCCTACACCTCCTGTACCTCTCAAAAGAATCCTTGACTTTTTTGGATTCCCCCTGACAAATCTCAATCAAAAGAGGGCAACACCCAAGTACCCCACTGCTGGCCTTCCTGAAGTAATGACAACCTCTTTTTCTTTATTTTGTTTAGTTTTTTTAATGTGGTGCTGGGTATTGAAACCAGTGCCTCAGGCATGCTAAGCAAGCACTCTACCACTGAGCCCCAGCCCCAGCCCCCTAATGGCAACCTCTTTATTAGGGGTGTAGTTTCCCAACTGCTAGTGGATCCCACCTTATATAAGATAGAACTGGTTCATTTCAAAGCCCCCAAGTCTACCTCTGGTTCTCACTTCTGTTGCAATTGTGGTAATGACTATAAGAGTTAACGAAGATGTCAGTGCATGCTTTAGAAACATAGGCTTTTATTTTGACAAAGACATAGGCTGCAGTGACTATGAAGGTTAGTCTATTTAGCATGCATATGGTGAACACGGAGAACTCAGGGCATTTCCTTGCATTATATACAATATGAGAATCCTGGTCCCATCAGGTTATTTTTCTTTTGTTTGAACATATATATTCTTTGAGTTTCTTCTGTGTCCTTATTCTCCTTGACATCAGCCATACTGTCAAATCCTGAAAGAAGGAACATAAAAAAATATCACAAACCAGCCTCGAAAGGAGGAGATCTGCAGGGCCCTGAGGCAAAAAGTTATATTCTTTCTTTCTTTTTCATGCCTACATCTTCACATACATTACTCTGTGAATTTTAAGGCCTTCTTTTTTATCCTTTGTGACCATCCAGCCACAGAAACAACCCAGTTATTTAAGCCAAGTCCAAGGAAAAATTTTCTATGACTAAGAGTTTTAGATGTCAAAACAATTGAAGCAATTTCTTCATATAACAATAGAATTGTCTGGGCTGGGTCCAGCACTAGGGAGAGGATTATACTTACCTCTGGAACAAAGACTAACTTCTTATATCTGTGTGTCCTTTTTTTACATTAGAGGTACAGCCTTTGACTGCTTCTAAGAATCTGAGACTGTTCTTTGTGTCTCTCACACAAGGGTTCCAGGAAGGAATGCTTACTCTGTATTCCTAATTTTTTTTTTCATAACAGTTGTTTTTCTTTAGGAATTCTCCCTCTATCCAAATCCTGGTCAAGCTGGTCTCAAAAGGTCTGATGGAGTTAGTCAAGGTCATGGATTCTTTCTTTCCATACCTCATCACAGAGGCCTTAAGCTCAGAGACCCACTCATTATAGACAGGGCAGGTCACACACCGAGAGAAGAACTCCTTAAAGTACTGAAAGAAAAGGAAGATCCATTAGCTCTGGAATTAGTACCCTCTTCCCCTACACACCACTGTGGCAGAACATACAACAGTTTTCACTCAACATACTCACTCAGGGCTTAGGGGACAGGGAAGAGTTACTGATGGCAAAATAAGTCTGGAAAATTGGTTCTGGGATACAGTAACTTGGAATGTATCTTATACTCAGAAGGTAAGGTTGTAGAAAGATGTATTTAATCACAGACTGAGTCACCGAGTAAGCCCACTGAGGAGGGCTAAATATTAACATTTTAATGATATTGGGTAGTACCTGTGTGAAGGCATAAATATAAGGAACCAAGTCCTAATCTAGATATAAAAATATCTAGGAAGGTACATGATGTTGATAGCAACTTTCTAGGTGGATAAACAAAGTATTCAAGGAGAAAAGGGAGGCAGAGACAGTGAGAGAAGAATGTGGAGAGACGCAAGTGGCAGGAAGTTTTACATTAGTTAGGTGTTAGTTGAATGACAGAAGAGAAATAGCTACCTGGAGGGTTTGGCTGGGGGTCTCTGGGGAAAGACCAGAGACCTCCTCTGGCATTTTCTGTAACATCAGCACACGGCACTCTAGGAATCGCACAAAGCCATGTGAACCAAATAGTGAGGCATTGGCTCTTTTCAAGAATCGGCAAGCCTTGGAGAAGTGATGCTCAAATAGGTCCCACTGTGAGTTCTGGGCAAACCTAGAAGGAAAGAGTCATAACTCTCAACTCTACCTCCCGTTTATAAACCATGTTTCTTTCATGAACTGTCACTTCTTTAAGGCCCTGAGGCACCCAGTCAGAATTATGGTGCTGGAAAATGTTGAAGTCTAGCTCACATGCAAGGAGACCAAAGAACAGACCACGATAATCAGCCTTGCCGTGGGACAGACCATGATAATCAGCCTTGCCGTGGGTTACTCTAGCTCTTAAATGTAACCCTCAACTTATGGGCCCAAATCTACAAAGGGCGAGAAGAACTGTTTTAGTAAAATATAGGGGATAGGTGATGAATGGTCTTTAAAAGTAAGATGTTGAATTGTCCTGCTTAGAGGGGTGAGGTGCCGAAATGAGTTCAGGAGGACCTTAGAATTCTACCCTTTCCCACAGATCCTCAGCGGGACATTACCACATGGCCAGGGAGGAATGGACCCCCAGCATGACATTGCTTTGAGAAGTTAGAACACAGCTGTGCCCATAGTGTTGAATGAAACACAGACACTCGCCAAAGGGCCGACACAGCAATCCTGTGGACAAAGAGAGTAACCGGGCTAGTATATACTGTTGACATAGAGAGTGAGGTATAGAAGGGGTGGTACAGGGAGGAAACAAACCAGAAAAGCAGATACCCTCTAAATCACAACTCAGACTTTAGGAAAAAGGGACCATGCCCGAGGGATGGGTTCATATTGCCTATGTTCCAAACCTAGTGCCCCATCTGACGTTTGCATCCCTTAAGCATACAGCAGAGCCCTGTGCAAGATTTACCTTTTCCATACAACAGCAGATCTAAGCAAGCAGAGTAGAAGCAGGCCAGGCCGAGGACATCATGACCCTGGGAAATGAGCGCCCACTGACTCTCCAGCACATGGACACACAGATCATATCTGCCGAGAGACAGAGCCACTGGGACCAGCTAGGGAGTGGGGGAAGATGGGGCAGGAAAGGAGGGGATCTTAACCTTCAAAGCACCTAATACTCCCAAGAACTCCTCTCCAGAGCTCTGTTTATATAGAGAACATAGGCCTGAGATCAGACCTTTCCCTAGGTAAAGGAGGTGGGAAATGCCTCTGAGGGAGTTTCAAGGAACCTGAGCTGTTGTAATCCCCTATCCTCCCTGCAGGGAAATGGGGGGCGGGGAAACAAAGTTTGCCCACTAGGTCCAAGTGGAGTTCCACTCTGCATTTCCACTCCTGACACCCTGCACTTAAGATAATGCTTCTTGGAGGGGTCAGGGTAAAGAGCCCTGGCTGTGGAAATGGAAAAGCATCTCCCATTCCACCCCAAACTTCTCTGAAGGACATCTCTCCCATTCTTATACAATGACTACAATAACTGAAAATGATCTTAATACTTTTTCTTCAGAAATGCAGATCTGAAAAGAACTGAGAGAACTAGATTCTCCAGAGCCGGTTTCTTGAGGTGTCTGCATAGCTCATGAGCTTGAAAACCTAAGGAGGTTAAAGAGCATTGTGTGAGGTCTAACTGTGAACCTGGACTCTGTGAAATCTCTGGGCCCACCAGCCCCAACATCCCATTACCCAGCTTGATGGAGAAGTCAAGATGGCCAAGGCAGAGCTTGGTGTAGGCCAAGGCCTGCATGAGCTGGGCTGTAGCCAATAATCCTTCCCTGGAGAACCAGCACAGGCTACTCTTCTGAATGGCTATCTGTTCACAGTGCAGCCACTTCTCCCTATTGCCCATGTTCTGGGAGAACTGGGAGAGGTCCACGTAGGTAGAGACAACCTGTAGGTAATAAACAAATTCCCATTGCCCATTCATGTGACATTTCCATTTGGCTTCTTTCCTGTTTAAGGGCCTACTATGGTGCCTTATTGCTCTCAATCTGGACTCCTGGTGTTGCTACCACACTCTTCTACTCCACCTAGGAAAACATGCTCCTTTTACCCTTCCACTTCTAATTTGATCATGCCCCCTGCCTGTTCTTTAAACAAAGCACTTTCTCTACATGCCCCTCTTCTCCTTCAACCCAAGACTTATCGAAACACCCCCTTTTCCCCCCCTCCACTTAAGGCCTCTGAGTCTTGCTCCTTATGGCTCTTCAGAACAGCTGCTTAGATCTCTATTACAACTATGTACTCATTTGACATGTTAGTGGCTCTCTTCTTGAAATACTGTATTCCCAAGGTTTCCAGGACATATGCTCTTTTGGTTTTTCTCCTGTCTCTCTGGCAACTTCTCAGTTTCTTTTATTAAACCAGCCCTTATCATCCTGACCTCTAATATTGGAGTTATATGAACACAGTCCTTGGATTTCCTCTTTTCTATGCTTATTCCTATTCCTTTGATGTTCTCATCCAGTTTTACAACTTTAAATAGCATTTATACACTGTGACTTCCATATTTCCATTTCTAGTTCAGAAAGGTCCTATGATGTCCAGACTCATATATTCAACTGCCTACTCCACAGCTCCACCTGGATGTTCAACAGGCATTTGAAATTGAATATCTCCAAAGTCTAGCTCCTAATCTTCCACTGAATATGCAGACTTCCCTGTCCAAACGAAGAGCATCTCTATGCCTCTAAAGGGCAGGACGCAGATCTTGGAATTATCCTTGACTCTTCTCTTTTCCATCCTATAAGAGATCCACGAGCAAATTTTGCTCATTTTATTTTGACAAAAGATCACTCTTCCTTCTCCTTCTGCTGCTGTAACAATCTTAGCTATCACCATCTCTTGCCTAGATGACTGCCAACAGACTCTGAAACGGTCTTCCTTCTTTGTCCTCTTCAGTTTGTTCTTGGCATAACATCTAAAATATCTTATTAAAACTAAACCTTGTACTGCCCCCCCCCCTTTTTTTGGGTGTGTGTGAAGCACCAAAAGCTTCCCATCTCTTTTACAGTAAAAGTCAAACCCTATTTTTGGCCTACAAGCCTGCACCATCTGCCATCCCCTTTCCCCAGTCCCTCTGATCTCATCTCCTGGTTGTCTCTCTTCCTCTCCCTCCCCTCCAGTCACACTTGCCTCCTCACCATTTCTCGCACACAGAGGATATGCCTTGTGCTTTCACTGTGTCCTCTGCCTATACAATCTTGCCCCAAGACAGCCTGGCTTCTCATCTCCTTCAGCTCTTTGCCATAATGTCACCTGATCAGCAAGACATTCTCTGACTACCCTGTTTAAAATGGCAACCTAATGGGTGCGGTGGTGCATGCCTACAATCTCAGTGGTTTGGGAGGCTGAGGCAGGAGGATCACGAGTTTAAAGCCAGCCTCAGCAAAACTGAGGTGCCAAGCAACTCAGAGAGATCTTGTCTCTAAATACAAAATAGGGCTGGGGATGTGGCTCAGTGGGTGAATTCCCCTGAGTTCAATCCCCAGTACTCACCCCTCAGTAAAGGCAACCCCTGCTTTCAGAACCCTATGCCTCCCCGTCTCCACTTTATTTTTAGCCATTGCACTTATCATCACCTAACAAACTATATGTTACTATATTTGAACATACTACATGTTTCCCTGGAGCCAAGTTCAGTACGTGACATATAATGTTTTCATCAAATATATGTTGAATAAATGGGTAAAAGAGAAAAACAGATGGGAACTAAAATTAGGAAGATATACACCATGTTTCCCCCCTTAAGTCAGCAGTTCTAATCCCTTTTTAGATCAGGGACATGGAGAATCTGAAGAAAGCTATGACCTTTCCCACTCCTATTACCCAAGAAATGCCATTTTGAACATAACACAAAATTCTGCATTCAGTTCAGGGTGATCCCACATAGCCCCACACCTGGAAATCTTTCTATAAACTGCAAATTGAGAAGCCCTTCTCAAATACATGATCAATGATCAATGGTATCTCGTTAAGTCTGGGGTGTTGGGGAATGATGCTAAAAACAGGAACTTGGCAGGGTCTTTCTTTCTAGCACTTGAGGTTTCTCAGTGAAGTCCAAGAATTGCTCACCTGGGCTTCATTTGCAAACTCCTCAGCTGAATTTTTCTGCATGAGAGTGGCCAGGCAGGCAAACCTGCGGCTACTGGCTGTGGCCTCCAGGTTATAGAGTTGCCAGAGCAAGGAGAGGCAATGTACCCGTTGCTGTAGAACTGCCAGCTTCTTCTTACTGTTGTGAAGCACGGGGTGGTTAGTCAGCACACCCTTATTCTTCACCATGCCCAACTCTTCCTCCCCACAAGAGTCCTAGGTCTACTCATTAGGGGCCATCTACAGATTGTCAAACACAGAAATGTTCCTGGAACTCCACTGCTCCCAACCCCACGGACCATTTTAATTCATCCCTCTAAACCAGGAAAAGTCTAGAAATGAGCCCTTTTTTTAAAAAGACTCATTCTTTGACTTGCTATTTGTCATACTTAATTAGCTGGGAGAAGAAGGTGGGAGACCTAGAAGTGTTATACTTATCTGCTCTGCTATTATAGATCTTGTTATATGTTTTTCTGCTAACATGCTTGAAAATCACTTGATAGCAAGAAAAAGAGGACTCTTAGATCAATATAAGAAAAGCTCTAGGCTGGGTCCTACTTTAGCTGTGGTTCTCTGTAGCCCTAAAGGGAACCAGGACAATCTGGACTGTCTTCTCACTTCTCACTGGGATTATTTGGAGATTGGCTCAGGAAACAGGAATACCAATACTTTTCCAGAAATGTTTGGAAAAAGACACCAATCCAGGTCCAAGGGAAATTCCTTTTCAGCAGTCGAAGGGCTTGCCTAGCTAATTTTTTGGCCAAGGTGATCTGTCCCATGTTGAAACAGACCTGGAGTTGACAAAATAAGAAATGTGGGTAAATGTGGGAAGGATACCATGGACTACGTTTTGTTTTGTTTTTTGGAACTGGGAATTGAACCCAGGGGTGCTGTACCACTGAGCTACATCTATTTTGAGATAGGGTCTCACTAAGTTGCAGAGACTGGCCTCAAACTTGCAATCCTTCTGCCTCAGCCTCCCTAGTCACTGAGATTATAAGCATGTGCCACCACATCCAGCTATGGATACAATATACTAGCTCTTCATTTGGAGATGTGTATGTAGCTGGAATCACTGAGGTGCTAAAGTGAACTGAGTTGGAGAACAGCCTGGTTAGAAGTCACAAAAACAAGGACCAGGAGGGCAATAAGCATTAAAGGGATGAGAAAACAGAATTCTGGAGAAAGCACCTTCCTTTCTCATTGCCTACACATCTGTCAGTGGGCAGTAGAGACAGACTGAAAGAAAGTGGTGTTGGCTAGATTGAGATGGCATCATCATTTGGGCAGAGTTCCATCCAAGTACTGAGAAAAACAAACAAACAGCCACCAAAAAAGATACTCTCAGCTGCCAGAAGGCATCTGAAAGAAAATCCCATATCTTTCCTTCCTAAATAGATTGTACTACCAGAGATGTGGATGTAGGTGTTGGGTTGCAAAACTACCTTGAGGATATCCTATAACTTCATGTTCTAAGGCTCAATCTCCCAAGAAAGTGATGAGGTTTATGTGATTCTTGAACAATCTTGGGAGAAATGACAAATAATTTCTTTCCAAAAAAGGAAAAAAATGTTTAACTTTACTCCAAAGACCACTTCATTGAAGCAAAAATAATGCAACACTGGAAAACTCTAATATTCTCTTTAATCTACAAAGGCCTATATATTGAAGTTCATAACCATATTATCTTAGTGTTTATCTTAAAATTAGTTTATTTACTCCAGAGGGCAAAGGACATAAATGGATAATTCACGGAAAATAAACAGAAATAACCAATGAACATAATAAAGAACCTTAGTAATTAAGAGGTACACATTAAAACACAATATAACTTGTCTAGGAATTACCAAGTTTAGAAAAGACTGATAATATCTGATGTTGTTAAGAATATGAAGAAATGGGAAAAATTCAAATTTATATAATATTTTTGGTGGTCAATTTGATGATATATTTAGTAAAATTGTCCATATCTTCTGCCTTAGCATTTCTACGTTTGGGAACTTCTCAAAGAAGTTCCTACAAAAAGGGAAGAGAGATATATAACAAGAACATTCACTACACCAATTTTCAACCCCTAAATTAGAGACAACATAAATGCATATGAATAAAAGGAATAAACTATGCTCTATCCATACAATATACTTGGAGTTCTTGGCAGTTGCAATTATTTGATGGATAAATATGTATGCACATATGCAAGTATATGTTCAATTGTACTATGAAAAGTAAAATTAGCTGCAGAGGAAAAAGAATATGGAATATGATCCTATTAAAATGATATAATTGAAAAATGACATGTTTGTGTATAGTTGGAAGAATACAGATCAAATTTTTAACTATGATGGGAGTGATGTAAGATGAGTGGGGGCTATTTCATTTTCTATATAACACATATTTCTATAAAATATATCCAACTTTTTATCACATTATCACATTTACAACCATACAGAAAAAAAAGACATGATGGAATTTAAAAAATAAGGTAATTCTTAGAAAAAACAAAACTTGAAGGTTATGCTCATCCTTACCTCTGACCGGAGCCTGCAGAAAGTGGCCTCCTCAAACTGACAGATCTTCACTTTGTGCTTTTTCAAGAACGAGAATGCTGAGGGTTGGCCCAGAAGACTGCTTGCCTTCCTTAAATAAAAGAAGGCCTTCAAACAGACAAAGGATGAAAAAACTGGATTAGGATTAGGATGGTGCTGGGGGTAAGGTTAGGATGATGCTGGATAAGGTTAGGATGAGGGTCAAGATCTGAATTTGAATCAGGTTTAGGATTTTGAGGTACAGTGAGGGCCCAGACTGCTGTGCAAGTCAAGGGCAGGGCCAGTGTGGGTCAGTGCTCTCTCTCACCACATTCCCATTTCACGTCTTCTCCTAAATCCCTCCAGCTTCTCTCTCTCCCATTTTCCTCCACTTTCTATTCCTACTTGACAGGAAGCACTCTCAATCAAATTCCCAGAGTAAAAAGGCTCAGTTCAAGAGCAGAGAGCTGAGCTTGCTCACCATGTAATTATCAGACAGGTCCAAGGAGGCAGCAGCAGCCTCCAGCAGGTAATAAAATGCACAGTTGGTTTCTCCAACAACCAAGCAGTGCTGGGTGAGTGGTGAGAGCACTAGTTTCAGGATTTCCTCACAGTGGCAGGGCTTTGTGGTCAACAGGTCTTTCTTGGGGCTGGTCTGAGCCAGCTTCCTGTTCACTCGCTCTAGGAACTCTTCCTCTGTTCTTTGTGGAGAGAAGATCAAGAACTGAGAGTGGCCACAAAGCTGCCACTTTTGTTGGGGCATTACAAGGTCTCAAAACCACTTTTCCCGGGAAGTGTCTGTATAATTAATTACTCTATTACTCTATAAAATTTAATAAGTCAGAAAACAGAGCTATAACTGCAATACTCTATTAGGGATTTAAAAAAATTAAAGCCAGCCAGGCACATTGGTGCATGCCTGTAATCCTAGCTCTTCAGGAGGCTGAGGCAGCAGGACTGCAAGTTCAGGACTGGGCTGGGCAACTTAGCAAGACCCTGTTTCAAAATAAAAAGGGCTGGGGATATAGCTCAATGGTAGAGCACCCCAGAGTTCCATCCAAGTACTGAGAAAAACAAACAACCACCCAAAAACAAAGATAAAACACCCCCAAAACCTAAAACTAACCTAAGTACTTCATAATCTAAATGGGGAAACATTACGCCTAAAGAGTAAACTAACAAAATAAATGTTAAATAAAACAAAATGATACAAACCAATATGTAATAATACATCTTCTAGTAGCATATTTCAATTTTGTAAAAAATATGCAATTTCATAGAATATTTAAATATTATTGTATATAGCATCATCAATCCTATAACAATTCTATCAGGAAGGCAAAAATTACTTCTCTTTACTGGTGAGGAAACTAATGATCAGAGAAATTACATGACTTATGATATCACAGCTAATGAGAAATAGAACCCAAACTAGAGCTCACCTCTCTGACTACTAGCATGTACTTTCTAAAGGCATCCTGAGGTCAAAAGAGGTCAGATATTTCTGAACCACAATGATCTAAAACAGTAAAAATTGAGGAGGGGCTTGAAGGTTGGTCAACATGCTGATAAATGGAGGGAGGCAGAGGCCACTCAGCATTGAAAGAGGAATAGCTGGCACAGGTGAGTATGGGTAGTTCATGAGGAATACAGGGTTTTTTAATAGTTTGTTTGAAATCAGTAGAGTAGCAGGTTAGGTAAGTGGAATGAGAAACTATGCCTAGAGCAGCTGGTGAAAATGAAAATTTAAAATTGATGGGATAGGCATTAGAAAGTCAGGAAGTGCATGGTTAGGAAATACACATTTTCATATCATCTGAAGCAAACAAAAATTGACAGATTTATAGCTGAAAAAATCTGCTTTGTATACAATGTTTGAAAGTTTAAATAAAATTATTCTTGACCCTTAAGAAATAATTTCCCTTTAGAGAACGGTCATTCTGAATTTTGGGCTGATTATAAGAGTTCCCACTTCTTTGCTGTGCATTGCCTTTTTAATTTGATGCCATCCCAAAGGAAATAAGAATGTGAAGACAGAATCACTAGAATGGGACAAAATATTTGCTAACTATTCTTCTGACAGAGGATTAATATTTAGAATACACAAAGAATTAAAAAACTTAACACCCTCCCCCCTCAAATAACCCAATTAATAAATGGACAAATGAACTAAACAGACACTTCTCAAAAGAAATACAAATGGCCAACAAATATATAAAAATGTTGAACTTCATTAGCAATTAGGGAAATATAAATAAAAACTAAACTGATATTCTGTCTCACTCCAATCAGAATGGCAGCCATCAAGAATGGTAGCCATCAAGAATACAAATAATAATGTATGCAGGAGAGGTAGGGAGAAAAAGCAACACTTATACATGGTTAGTGGGATTGTAAATTAGTGCAATCCTTATGGAAATCAGTATGGCAGTTCCTCAATAGACTAGAAATGGAACCAACATATGACCCAGCTACACCACTCCTAGTTATTTATCCTAAAAAATTAAAGTCATCAATGCATGTCTATCCATGTTTATAGCAGCACAATTCATAGTACCTAAACTATAGAACCAGCCTAGGTATCCATCAACAGATGAATGGGTAAATAAAATGTGTTACATATATACACAACAGAGTTTTATTCAGCCATAAAGAAAAATAAAAGTCATTATTGGGAAATAGATGGAACTTGAGAACATTATGTTAAGCAAAATAAGCCAAACTCAGAAGGTCAAGAGTTGTATGTTTTCTCTCATATACTGGAGCTACAGTGGAAAAGGGAAAAGAAAGTTGATGGTGGGATCTTGTGAAAATCAAAGGGAGATCAATAGAGGAAAGGGACCATGAGAAGAGAGGAGGAGAGGGAAAGGGAAAATACTGGGGAATGATTTTGGCCAAATTATATTGTGTGCATGTCTGAATATGAAACAACAAATCCAACCATTACACATAATTATAATGCACCAATAAAAAATGGAAAAAAAAGAGTCTCTTCCAGAGTGGTCAGACTCCCTCTGGTATGAGGGTGAGGTGAGTACCCCAGTTAGATGGCTATCTGTTTCTCATTCTGGGACCTCTGTATCCTCCCTGGGCATCTTCATCTACCTGCTGTGCTGTTCACTTGAGAAGGTCTCCTGACTTCTGAATGTTTTTTCCTGGAAATTAAAACTATCTGTGGGGAGAAAAAATACAATTATTTTTAATTATCCATGTTTGGATTAACTGAGAATATTTAAAATTCCTAACTACCTTTTTCTCTGCAACTTACAATACAAAATTAAGATGATGCATTATAAATTTCTAATGACAATTATTTGTGATTTGCATAAGTAATCCTCATTGTCAATTTCCTCAAAACAGTTCCCAGCTTGAAGGAGGATCCTCAATGTTTGCTAAATGAAGGAAAAAATGAAAGAAGTATGTGTCCATTCTGGCTTGATGGATACTTCCAATGGGGGAAATCCCTAAATATATTTGGATCAAGTAGATGACCAGATCAGATTGAATTGTAGGGCCAAAGACCAACAGAAGAAAACTATGGTAAGCACAAGATGCTGCAGTCTACTAGCTGACCTTAACTAGCCTTTATCTTCCACATTTGACCTGCGGCTGCCTTTCGCAGATCAAAACAGCAAATATTCTGGATATTAGTGCTGTATCTGATGTGTGTATAGTAAAGATGTTCTCCCACTCTGTGGGCACTCTCTTCAGGTTACTGATTATTTCCTTTGCTTAGAAGAAGCTTTTTAGTTGGAATCCATCCCATTTATTGATTCTTGATTTTATTTTTTGTGCATTAGAAGTCTCGTTAAGGAAGTCAGAACCTAATCTGATATGATGAAGATTTGAGCCTACTTCTTCTTCTATTAGATGCAGAGTCTCTGGTCTAAAGAACTCAAAAAAACTTAACACCAAAAAAAAAAAAAAAAAAAAAAAAAAACCCAATTAATAAATAGGTCAAGGTACTGAACAGACACTTCTCAGAAGAAGATACACAATTGACCAACAAATATATGAAAAAATGTTCTCATCTCTAAAAATCCAAATCAAAATTAATCTAAGATTTCATCTCAACTCTAGTCAGAATGGCAATTATTAAGAATAGAAGCAATAATAAGTGTTGGCAAAGATGTGGAGAAAAAGGTACACTCATACATTGCTGGTGGTACTGCAAATTGTTGCAACCACTATGGAAAGCAGTATGGAGATTCCTTATAAAACTTGGAATAGAACCACCATTTGACCCAGCTATCTCACTTCTTGGTCTATACCCAAAGGACTTAAAATCAGCATACTGTAGTGACACAGCCACATTAATATTCATAGCAACTCAATTCACAATAGCTAAACTGTGGAAGCAACCTAGATGTCCTTCAACAGATGAATGGATAAAGAAAGTGTGGTATATATACACAATAGAATATTACTTAGCATTAAAAAAGAATAAAATCATGGCATTTGCAGGTAAATAGATGGAGTTGGAGAATATCATGTTAATTGAAGTAAGCCAATCCCAAAAAACCAAAGGCCAAATGTTTTCTCTGATAAGTGGATGCTGATACATAATGCAGGGGGGTGGGTGTGGGGAGAATGGAGGAACTTTGGGCAAAGGGGAGGGAGAGACTGGGAGTGGGGATGGGGGCAGGAAAGATGGTGAAATGCGATGAATATCATTACCCTAGGTACGTACATGACTGCACGTATGGTGTGATTTCACATCTTGCACAACCAGAGAAATGAAAAGTTGTGCTCCATTTGTATACAATGAATCAAAATGCATTCTGCTGTCATGTATAACTAATTAGAACAAATTTAAAAACGTAATATGGAAAAATGATAATAATAATAATAATAATAAATAGCAAATATTAAGAATGATGGTGAGATTTTACCTACAGGATAAAATCTGGGCAGGATTGATAGAGTCTAAGAGCATTTTTAGAAGAATGTTTGGGTTAACTAAAAGGACTGGCTCTCTCATGGTAATGATCTTTATAATAGATAAGGTAATTAAGGAAAAGGGTTTGGCAGCACTATTGTGGGCATAACTCCAAGTGGCACTTTCTCCTTCTAGCCTCTGGGAGTAGTGCCCTCTGGAGTTGAGTAATGTCAAGGCTGTATGGCCTGAGTCTGGGAAGCCCATTCAGCATTCGGCTGGGCTCTGGAAGTCTCGAGCCTCTCTCTTTCAGACTGACCAAACCATCTAGTCTAAAGCTGACACTGACTTCTCAAAAGTAAAGGGGCCATACAGGAAATATGATAGCACAATTTCTTTACAATACCAGATTTTGGAAACTACAAAAATGCAAATGCCCACAGAATTGCTCCAAGTCACTGGTTTCACCTTCATAGAATTATGTTATATGTAGAATAGGTATTAGGATCATAGGTCAAATCTCTCTCTCACTTTAGCTGTCCAACAGGAATAATCTACCACTTTTCCCCTAGTGTCCCTGCCCCTAACCCTCTACCCAAACCAACTTCTAACAAATACAGAAGGAGAAGATTTGGTTTGATCTTGACAGCTGGTTTCAGTCACGGAAGATGGCACAACTGGGAAAACTAGGTGGAGTGCAAGATGGTAGATCCCAGCCTGATGAAAGAAGAAATTTTTTGATAGGCTGAGATAAAGAAATATGAAATCCTCCAGGTAAGCGAACTGAAGAGGTTAAAACAAAGATGGATGAACCCTGGTCTGGTTTAAGAGGCTATGGTGAACATCTATCAACTAATACAAGATTCTTCAAATGGCCAACTTCATTATCTCACAGATTTAATTCTGGCATTATCTCCTTCAGGGAAGTGTCTTCTCTGAAACATTCCTCAGTCTGGGTTAATGGTGCCTTTTTCTAGGCATCCCTAAACTCGATGTGTAGGCCATTTTCAATGTTTTTACCATGTCATATTAGAATTCTCAATTTATACCCCCAAAACTGACAGCTTCAGGAGTTCAGAGGCTGAGGCTTACCCACATTGTATCCCTAATATCCAGTGTAGCATCGGATACATGTAAGGACTCAATATATGTGTAGTGAACTGAAAAATAATGAAGGCAATTACTAAACTGTACTGAGTACCCAACATGTGCTTGGCAATAAAAGCTGCATATTACATATTTTAACCAATTCAATTCTCAAAATGATAATATGAAGTTGATATTACTTTTTCCAATTAATTGAGATCAAGTAAGTTTCCCAAGATAATCAAATATTCCTTGGAACTCTGAGATCACATTTTTTAAAACACTCTGTACTTCAGGGTTAAACAGTTCCCTTCTATGTACTCTCTCCCAATCTGAATCTCAACTCTTTGATGGAGAGCTCCAAGTGCATGGAAAAAGAGAAGTGCTGCCCACATGAGTTCTTTCTGCCTACTGGTTTACCTTGGGGAGAAGGCAGCTGCAATTTGTCTGTGGTCACTTGTGTTAGAACTGAGCCTGTATCTTTGTAAGTACAGAATCTAAAGGTCCCCCCAGAGCGCTTAGTAGAACAGATTGCAAAACGATGGAAGGGGACAAAGTCCCCTCCATGGCAGCTCCCACAGCGGCAGGCCAAATCTTGGAGAAAACAGGCACATTCAAGGTGCAGCGCAATCTGTTGTTCCTTGGGCCACAGCTCCCAAGCAGCTTCCCGCAATAGAGGCATTCCAAATTCTAGAACATCAGTTTGAGGCAGGGATGGTTCTTTTTGCAGCTGGAGAAGAGAGGCTGAGCCAGCGTCTGAAATTTAGGAAAATCCAAGTGAGACTCTCCCTTATAGTCTTTCAACGCTTCAGTATAGCAAACTCCCAAGCACATTTTTGCTTTATAAGATTTTACTTACTTTATACTACTTTATAAGATTTTATTTACAACTCATGTTTGGTGTGTCTGCCTCCTTTGTATAAAAAATTTTGTACCTATCAGAAAGTGGTATTGACCATTTCTACTTGATGATAAGGTACAAAATGGAAGAAATTATTAGTTTTACTGAAATACATTGGGAAGATTTCTTGTCGGTTCCTCCTAACTGAGCTTTTTTACTTTAAATTGTTACAAATCTCAAATCATAAGACATATTCTGTTCAAATATGAGTGCAAACATCTCAAAGTCAAAAAGAAATGATTTGTGGATTATATATTCTTGGATCATCCATGCTATGATTTTATTCTTTCATATGGAGAATTTGAGATCATAAGCTGTTCAATTGATATTTTGCTCTGTTCAAGTCTGTTTCAATACCACATGAGTCATTTTCCTCATAAATTTCTAAAATTCAAAATGATCTATCTTTTTTTTCCTTATTATTTGTACCTAGAAAACCAGTAAATGATTATGACAATATTTTATGAACCAAAAAAATCAAAACACAAATACTAACACAGGAGTTAACAAGGAGCTGGAATAAGGATAACTCTGATACAGGATATTTTTCTATTATAACCATGGCTCCTTCATAGATAAACAAAAATTTTCTTTCCATTTCTGAATCGCCAGCCTTCAGAGAGAAGGCCCTAATACATGATATTAATGGTCTTTCTAAACACAGAATACCCCTGCCTTCCTCACCTGACTTTTTCTTCTCTTTGGTTTGATCAATGATGTCAATAATGGAAGGTACTAACATGGACTCAGCAGGAAGCTCAAGCCAGCGGAGCACATGCATATCCACAAGAGCCCCCAACAACTGAAGTAGCTTGTTTTTATCCCAGCCAGGTAGGAGGTGATGCAGCAGATTTATATGGAAGGAGTGACCAATGATTGCAGCACACTTCACTAGCAACTGTTCCTCTGGGCTCAGTTGATCCAGTTGGTTTACTGCTATTTCTGTACCCCCACCAAAAAAAAAAAAAAAAAAAGGAAAGCAAGAAACAGCAGTGAACAATGGTTCTATAAACCTGGGATACATTATGTTGATAATTTGTACATCTTAAAAATAAAAAAGCTTGCTTCTTATATACCCCTATTTATTTCCTACCTTAATCCCTACTTATCTAGTCAACCAAACCTCTTGAAAGAGTTCTGTCTCCAAGTTCTTGTTTCCCATTAATTGTTCAACCAACAACTAGGTCTCTACCACACTACTGAAACTGTTCTCCTATGATCACCAAAGCCCTTTGCTGGTAGACCAAAACTGTGCTCTGGATCACTCGGCTACACTAATCCTTTCCAACTTCATGACCTATTAGTACTTAGATCCTTATTTTTTATTTATTTATTTTTTAGAGAGAGAGAGAGAGAGAGAGAGAGAGAGAGAGAGAGAGAGAGAATTTTTTTAAATTTATTTTTTAGTTTTTCAGTGGACACAACATCTTTATTTTATTTTTAAGTGGTGCTGAGGATTGAACCCAGTGCCCGTGCACGCCAAGCAAGCGTGCTACCACTTGAGCCACATCCCCAGCCCAAGATCCTTATTTTAAATTAAACTTTCAAGGCAGATTTCCTGGTCCTAGATCTCTAATAACTGTAAAGATCTTAATAAACTCCAAGGATTTCATCAAGTTCAAAAACTTGAAATCATCCTAAACTTTGTTCTTTCCCTCACAACCTACTGGTCATCCATCCATCCTCTTTCTAAATGTCTCTTGGATATATTTCATACTAAACAATTTTAAATGACTAGCAAGCCATTTTCACCTGGATCACTATAAATCCTGTTTTACACATCTCCAATTTCTTTTTATTCTCATCCCAACAATATATTATTAACTAGTGGTAAAATCAGATATCTTAAAAACACAATATGATCAAGTCAGTCTCCCTCTCAAATACCTTTAAAACTCAGTGAGATCTTTCGCAATCTAGCTTTGGCCTTTCTTTTAGACCAAGGCTTTGCTGACCTATTCATTTTAGCTTGCAAGTTTACAACCTCTTTTCCTTCCCTGACAATGTTGACTTTGGGTTAATTTTCTAGCTGTTTCTTGGGATCCCAATAAAATTAGAACGTGAGCAGTATTACCAGGCAACATGGCTTTTGCTAAGAATGACCTCTGAATTTGGACCGGGGAAATGTGAATGAGCTGATTGTGAGATACAGTTTGGGGCTTCCTTGAGTGTAATAATTCTTGTAATAGATCATGATCCTTGCAGGGCCAAGTCCTTATCTGGGACTTGTTGTTTCTAAGAATCCATGCTTCATGGGTCTCATTCCCGATACTGGGACTATTATTCCTTGAGGCTCCAGAGAATAGTCCCTGGGTTGCCAGGTAAATTGTTGTAAGGACTCCCACTGAAGAAAACCACCTGCCACTGTCCTGCCAGCATGCTGCATTTACTTCTAACTAGAGCCAATGCCAAGTTTGGCCTGTCATGGTTAGAGCAAAAACTGTCTAGCTGAACCCAAAATCTCCAGGACGAAGAACTATGGTGTCATACATTAACAGAATATTATGTGACATTATTTATTTTGCTAAATCCTCAACAGAACCCATGACATAGGGTCTATTGTTATCCTCACTTGACTGACGAGAAGACTACAGCTAACTTATCAAAGGCCTCCAGCGAGTAAGTGGAGGGGCCAAAAGTGTCCTCATTTTTCTAATTCCAGAGTCCCAGCAATTGACTAGCATGTCTTTATGGTGGTTTCATGTACATGTCTTATTTTCTCAACAAGATGATATTTTACTTGAACTATATTTATCATAATATTCCTTAAGAGGGCTTAATATAGTATCTCCCCCACCAAACACTTGGATAGAACATTTGAAAAACAAAACATAATAAAGAGAATAAAATCATGGCATTTTCAGGTAAATGGATAGAGTTAGAAAAGATAAGACTAAGTGAAGTTAGCCAATCCCAAAAAACCAAATGCCGAATGTGTTCTATGATATAAGGAAGCTGACTCATAGTGGGGTGGGGAGGGGGAACATGGGAGGAATAGATGAACTCTAGATAGGGCAGAGGGTGGGAGAGGAAGAGAGGGGACATGGGGTTAGAAATGATGGTAGAATGTGATGGACATGAATATCTAAAGTAAGTATATGAAGACATGAATTGGTATGAATATCCTTTGTACACAATCAGACTTATGAAAAATTGTTCTCTATATGTAATAAGAATTGTAATGCACTCTGCTGTCATATATAAATAAAAATTAATAAAAAAGTTAAAAACAAAAAAGCCATAATTAATCTCAAAGAACATCTCCTCTCCAACTATGCCTGCCAAATTCTTTGTTCCTTATCGGTCAAAATAAACATACTTTGCATTCTTTTTTATTAAACTCTTGCTATGTACACAACATTATCAGCATCATAGATTTTCTTAAATCTCAGCAACATCATCTCCCTTGCTTATTGCCTCCTTTGGCAGAGGAATTTTCACAAAGGGAAACTCAGGACCTAATTTTTATTAATAAACTGAAAAAGTTTCCAGATCATCAAAAGAAAGCAAAAGGCCATTTAAGTAAACATTATTCATGTCTTCAAAAGGCTCTGCAGGCCATGCTAGAACTTATTTCTGGAAGACAAGTTTCCTGTTTAGAATAAAATGAAACCAGAATGATAATGAGAGACTTGTACTCATTCACTCACCCAATTACTAATTGCAGTGACACCTGTAATTGGTTCACTGGTGGTATTCAAAGAACTTGCCTTTTAACAGTGGTGGGAGAAGCACTGTATCCAAGTTTACATCATCTTTGACTGTGCAGACATAAAGTTCCTGATCTTCTTTGGAGCTGGCAGGAGAAATACTATACATTGTGGATTTTATGGCTTTGGCTGTAGGAGCAAAAAAAAGGACCATGACTGAGGAAAACACCAAGCTCAGTGACTGTAGCTTTAAAGGCACAGAAATGCAAGATTAAGTCAAGAGACTTCAGGATGAAGATGAATGGAAAACACGTTTTTTTTTTGAGAGAGAGAGAGAGAGAGAATTTTTTTTTAATATTTATATTTTAGTTTTCGGCAGACACAACATCTTTGTTTGTAGGTGATGCTGGGGATTGAACCCGGGCCGCACGCATGTCAGGCAAGTGCGCTACCGCTTGAGCCATATCCCCAGCCCAACACTATGGTTTAACATGCTTCACACCAACCCATCCTGCTTGTTCTTTAATTTTCTCTTATAAACTAATAGCATCCTTTGTACCATATTATATTTCATCACTGTTCATTATTCCTGCTTACTTTATACTAGCCCTGTTTCTATGATATCACAGCTCTAGGATGCCTTTCTGGATATACATGTAATTCTACCCTTTCCTCCTAGCCCATCCTCCTTCCTTCTCCCATCCCCCATCCAAATCCTCAAGTCCTCCTCATCATTAATATACAATTCTCTGTTCTGGACTCTCATCGTTAAAAACCCTATTTCCTACCTGATCTCCTAGGCTACTCAAAATAAAACTATTGCAGATTGGTTGACTGAATTAAGTTATCTGAGGCAGCGATTTAGTGTTTTCACCCTAGTTGCATAGTATTTGTACACTGTACTTAGCTGGGCTTAATCTGGCCCACAATGTCAACAGGGAATGACCACAAGCTTCATAAAGACTAGGTAATGCCATGATGGAGATCAAATGTCAGTGGTTGCAAGGCTAAACTTACCTGACAGGGTTTCCCACTTGCTGTTCTCTTCCTCCTCCTTTTTTAGGTCATGAAAAAGCAATATGTCCTTAGAGAGAAGGTCCTGGCATAGGATCTCACAATACAGGGGGTTTCCAAAGCACCTGTGCAGAAGGTAGCTGCAGAAAGTAAGTAGGTGATTGTTGACTAAAGATAACCACTTGAGGGGAGCCAAATATTAAGGGTACTTCATACTGAGGAATCTTCTTTTGTTAAAGTCAGATCTTGATGTATATACCCTAACAGAGGGAAGCAGCTGCAGGGAGAAACGTAGGGAAAAAACAATTTCTTGGGTTTTTTTTTTTTTTTTAGGGGGGGGGGCACTGCGGTTTTAACTCAGGGGCGCTTAATCACTGAGCCACATCCCCAGCCTTTTAAAAATATTTTATTCAGAGACAGGGTCTCACTAAGTTGCTCAGAGCCTTGCTAAGTTGCTGAGGCTGACTTTGAACTTGTAATCCTCCTGCCTCAGCCTCCCGAGTCGCTGGGGTTACAGGTGTGCACCACCATTCCCAGCAAGAAAAACAATTTCTGATTGGCTTTGAAATATATTTTGGCAGTAACTTTTTTTTTTTCTTAACTATTTTGCTTCTACTGATGTTAAAAGGAGCTAACATCTCCTTGCTAAAAGGCTTTGCAGAAACTGACACTATAAGCAAGCCATCCAAGTCCTAACTGTCTTGTTAAAACTTGAATGGGCAGCCGGGGAAGTAGCCCCTTCATAGTTTACAAGGAGACTGAAATCTCATCTTGGGCTTCATCATGCTTACTAATGCCACTCTCTCCCCCAACTCTGTTGAGCCCTGAGCCTTCTCTTTTATATTATGGCACTGGCTCCTCTCTTAATGAAGTGCCCAGCTGATCCTAGCCACTCACATCTGCAGCTCTTGGGGGATGCTCACCACCCCTAGTTCCCAACATGCCATTCTCAACAGCAAGGTTGCTGCCAACTTTGAAATGGGCACAAGGATAGCCTGAGGACTCTGTAGGAAGTGCTGGGCCCAGCCACACAGGGTGACAGGAGGGGTCAACGTCATCACCATGATGATGGGCACACTGGAGAGCAATGTTCCCAAAAACTCCCAGGAAGCTGCATCCATATACTGGGCCTCGTCAATGAGGAAAATCAGTGGTGTTTCCCTCACTGCCTGGAAATAACAGCAAAGAAACAATAACAACCTCTGATTAGAAATAAAGATCTACTGCAAATTTTCCATCAACAATTTAAACAAAATGTCAAACAGGATGGAATTTTCAGAGTAAAATGTATTTTAAGTCCAGGTAACATTTTACTTTCTAAATATAAAATATAACCTACATATCTAATTCCTAAATAAAAAATGTATGGATAAAATAAGTGAACAAGAAAATGCTCTAACTAAAAATAAGTATCGAAATATTCTCTAACTCAAACTTGAAGCTTTCAAATATTTCATTTTGACAAAGACTTTATTCTGTATGAGAATTTATAACAGTTTAAAATGGCAACTTTCAAACCCGGCTGCACATTAGAATCTCCTGGCAGTGCTTGTCAACACTCTCATTACCAGGCCCCACTCACTGAACACTCTGAAAAAATTATATCCATTTTTATCCCCACTCCCGCTCTGCTTCCTCTGCTTCCCATGGTGTCAGGTGATTACTCTAATGTGTTTATCCTATAGATTTTTGTTTGCATTTTGTTCTTTCAAAATATGCATTGTTGTTTTGCCAAATACATTATTTTTATATAAATACTACTGTATTACAGATCTCATTATTTTTCCTCTTTTTTTATTCAGGACTGTTTTTATTTTTGCGGTGCTTGAGATTGAACCTCAGGTCTTGCACGTGCTATGCAAGCCTTCTACCACTGAGCTACATCCTCTGGCTTCAGACTATTTTTTTTAAAATATTATTATTAGTTGTTGATGGACCTTTATTTAATTTATTTATTTATACACAGTGCTGAGAATCAAACCCTGTGTCTCACAAATGCTAGGCAAGCACTCTACCATTGAGCCACAACCTCAGCCCTCAGAATTGTTTTTATATCACTCCACATTGTTAAGTTTTCATCTTATTCCCTTAGTTCTAACTTTAACATTTACTTCACTGTGTTCATCCATGTGTTCATGCCAGTACCTCTCTGGCCTCCACAAATAAATACAATGGACATGTTCCTTGGGAGTTCCTAGATTTAGAGGATACATGCTATTAAAATTTGAATTGTTACTTTTAGATTGCTTTCCAGAATGGTCACATCATTTTCTCTTCATATAGATTTTTGATTCTGTAATTCTGAGGTAGAGTCTGTGTATCTGTGCTTTTAATAAATAATAGGTAAAATAGCTATTCACCTGCACTGTAAATCATTGTTTTACATCAAATTACTAAAATTTCATTAAGAAACAGGACCAAGAAAGAGCCAAAACTCTTTTGTGTGCCATGCCATGCTGTGGAATGAATACATGTTTGCAGATAGACACAAACACTGAAGATATCAACAAATGGAAGGCCAAGAAAAGCCTAAAACAATGTATGATGCAAACTGGTTAAACATAAACCATCTCCAAATATTAAGAATAAATGGTATGCAGCAAAAGTACCCACCTCCTGAAGCACTTCAATAAAACACTCTTTAACCTTTTTTTGTCTGGCCAGGTCATCCATGTGTGAAACTTTGAAGGACAATGGAAACTGATCAAAAAGAAATATTATGTATTAGCATTTAAAATGGCAACCTAATAAAAATGTGCATATTCTCCAAAGGAACAGAAAACAATTCTATTTTAATGAAGAGTAGGTTTCTGTGAGATTGAGCATAGAGAGACAAGGTCCAATCCAATATTAATGTATAGCTCAAAGTGTAATACTGAAAGTTCATTGAGGGTTAAAGACAGATCCTTACATCTTTTTTTCTATACCAGAGTCTAGAAAATTATTAAAGGCTGTAACTAAGGAATAAATGACAGGTTGTACTTAGTAATGCTACTTTGGGCAGCTCTAGTATATAAGTTACACCAAATATACCAGGATGAATCTCTACATGCAACTTGTCAGAAAGAGATGCAATGGATATCACCTAACATTTTTTTACTGTGCTAGGTTAAGGCACATAAGCTACCATGGATCTGTTAGCCAAAGTGAGATTCCTGCTTGACCATATGAACAAAGGTTAGAGCCCAGACAAAACTTAATAGAGGGCTATACTGAGAAACTGGATAGATTTTAGTATTCTCTACTTTATATCAAATACTTTCTTTGGAGGTAGATTAGAAGTTAGAAGTGATGGAGAATGAACAGGGTATCTTTAGTTTGCTGGCTGTTGGGTACCACATAAACCCTAGACCACTGGAAGATTTTGAGATTTAAATGCTGGTTCAAGGGATATACTCCATGGCTAGGGAATAGGAAGGCAGCTTTAAGGAATAAAAAAATCACAACTGACTTAAGAAGACATGAATACAATTCCTAGGATCAGGATCACCTTAACACATGTAGCTGTTTAAAATTTATAATACAATCTCTTATACACTATCTTCTTTAAAATTTATGTAAAATCATATAAAGTATGTAAATCATTTACAGATGAAAAAATTGTGGCTCAGAGAGGCTAAGTGATTTGCTCCAGACCATATAACTAGCAAGTGTCAGAGTTAATCTTAGAATCCACTCTAAAGAAAACAAACAAACAAAAAAAACAAACCCTGGGTTTTGGTGAATCCAAATCTTAATCCTCCCAAGACTATGTGTTCTTAAGCTACATATATATGTCCTAAGGGTATTAATTATGTTAGAAGACAACAGTGGATCTGACTATCCACAAAGAATAACAGTAACCCAATTCAGAAAGTCAAAGTCTTTGTTACCTTCACAAAGAAGAGGTCATTAAAAAGGCAATGAAGTGGTTCATCCACCATTCCATGGAGCTGTCTGTTCAGGCACTCTTGCCGATAATAGGCTGGGCATGTATCAATCTCAAAGAAGATGGCCATGAGGGTCTGGATAACATAGAAGCACTGCTGGGAATCTGCTTCCTTCAGTTTCAATGGCAACACCCTGGTGAATATTAGCATGGTCACTGGGAGACCCCAGACCCACACAGAGATTACTCATTCCACCAGTCCAAGGTTGCTGAATCTAATGACATGTAGTTGTACCAATAAGGTAAAGAAGCCCCGCTAAAAGTAGGTTTTGAGTCAGAAAGCAGGTGTCTTTACCTTTGCCCTTTTTTCTGGGCCAAGAAGTTTATTTCAGCTAAAAGCTGGCTTTTTCCATAGCCTTTTCCACCTTCATACAGAACTGCCTGACCCTTCTTCTGTTGCAAACATGACTGCTGTGCCGATCTGAAGGCCTCCAGTTCCTTTTCCCTGTCTGCAAAGAGACAAGAAGCACTCTGTGCTTTATAATAGAGACTATTTGAATTGATTTTCAAAGCTAGCTCTCTTAAAAGCTCTATCACCTCCCTGTCCCAGAATCCCTGGCAGAATCCAGAATCCCATTCTTTGATGGAATTTCATATCTAGGTCTAGAAAATCAACTTGAGACAAACAGAAGTATGTGCTGAGGAACTGGATAGATTCAGGGTTTGTTGTGGAGCCTAAGCAATAACATTCAGAACAACCAGGCACCATATGGATGTGGGGCTACTATTATTTTCTTAGTTTGTTATAAAAATTTTCATAACAACAATTTAGTCTTCAGGGTCTGAAACTGTTAGGTAAAGATAATGGATTAATAAATGTAGATTAAAATAAAAATAGGGACTATATAATGCAGGTGGCAGAAGAGACCCCAGTAGCAAAACCCTAACTTACAAAGATTCTAACTAAATGTTGGTACTTCTCAAGCAAAGTGGTAGAACTTGACCTGAAATCTGAACATTCAACATGAAAAAGAAATGACAGATCCTCTTTAAAACAAATATAAATTCACTAAGAAGGCTGCTCTCTATTTTTTAATATAAACTTAAAATCATTTAGTTTGCATTCCATTTTATTTTTAAAATCATGTCTAGCCATCTACAGCTGAAACAAATATGATCTAATTAGAAAACTCACCTAACAAAGGGCGATTTTCATTTCTTGTTCTGGCCAAATGTCTTTTCCCAAACATTCTGCAAAAAAGAACAAAGAGAAATGTTTTATTAAAAATAGCATCAAGAACTCTTGTCTTCCTAAGCAAGTACTTCAAATAACTGAAGAGGTACAGAGATCTGTGCAAAAGTGTTTTTAAGAACTAAAAATTGTTATGGAGTGAGAAAAGGAAAGTAGTATTGATATCTGCAGGCTCAGAGAGGTAAGTAAATTGTGAAGTACATGCGCACACACACACACACCCAAAGAACACTTAGATTAGTGATTTACTGCTATTTTCTTCCTGTTGGAGAGAAAGAAATTCCCCAAAGAAGTAGCTAAGAGCTAAACAGACAAGCTAAAAATCTCAAGATGAGAAAGCCTCCTTTTATGTGTCTTATTCCAACAGGGAAGTACTAGTATTACTAAATTTCATACAACTGAAAATTTACCATTCTCATGCCTCTATTCTGTAAGAGATGAGAATAAACTCTCACCAATAATACTCACATACATCTTCTATGGCCAAGATATTCATAAATCCTCCCGGGGTTGGAGATGTTTTTCATTATTTTCTCTGGCAGTTTCTTAAAGTTGTAAGCAGGAAGCATGGACCTTAAATACGTTACCTCATCACAGGATACCAAGCCTGGATAAGCAGCTATCATTCTGGCCACAAGGCTCACTTTTGGGCCAATAACTGTGTTAGAAATAAAGTAAAGGGTGGAAAATTTTTGGACCACCTCTTCCATCTTCATCCCTTAAGTCATAGAGCTAATAATCCAATCTATTCTACCTGTATATTCATGTCTTGCTACTGCCCCAACCAGGCCACAGAATACTGGTCCATTGGTGATACTGATGGAAACAAGCCTGGGGATCAGAAAAGTAACAACTGAGTAAATATATAGTCAGAAGCCTCCAAA